TATAAAACACTACTGGGCACAGTTGTCCCATTGTCCCACACAGTTGTTAAGGATATTTAAAAAAAATACATCACTTTGGGCACTATTGTAAGACTATTGGTCATATTTTTCTTGTCTGAAAAGTTTTTGATATCTGCGGAAACTATTCAGTAAATGAAGGGTTAAATAATAATTGTGTCTGGTTTGTATTTTAGCGTTATATGATAATATGTAAAAAGGAAGAGGTAAAACAAATAAAATTAAAAAAATAATGCAAAAAACATGTATTTATACAAAACATAAATATCATATTTAACAAAATAAATGAAATAAATAATATTAGCAATTAATAAATAAAAACAAAAAAGTGAGTAAACAGTGAATTCAAAAATTAATTACACAAAAACATTGACTCTTAATACAAAAGACAATAAAATTTTAAAATTGACTCACACATGCATATACTGGCCGTTATACTATAACATTTGAATAAATTCAGAGAAATTTAATATACACAAGCTAAAAAGGAGACACAATAAGCGAGAAAACGTAAAATTTTTGAGAAGTACCCTTTCAGTCACTTTACTATACCAAATGTATTACTATTAAAATCTAGGAGTATGTATAAGTTAAGACAAAAATCAATCAGTTTTTCAAGAAATAAAGATAAAATTGTTTTTGGGACATTGTCTGTTAACTAAGAGTCTGGTAATACCATAGGGATATAATACCTAGACTGCGCGTTGAAATCTAAAACCGTTCCCCCAGTGCGACACAGAAAATGAAGCGAGCAGTCCTTGCATCTCTTTCTAATGAGCGAGGTTTATGGATCACGTGACCTTCCCACTACCAAACAATTTACAAGCACAAGTGGAGTAACAATGTAAATGTAACTTAAATTTTTGACGTAAGGGAGAGAGCGAGAGAGAGAGAGAGAGAGAGGGGGGGGGAGAGCGAAAGAGAGAGTGAGAGAGAGAGAGAGAGAGAGAGAGAGAGAGAGAGAGAGAGCGAGAGAGAGAGGGCTAGAGAGAGAGAGGGAGAGGGAGAGAGAGAGAGGTAGCGACCTGGTATTGTCTTTGTTATGCATGTGGATAATCGGGGTTGGATTCTTGTACTGATTTTCGAAGAAGAAATCGGAAATTGGCGGCCATATGAAGCCAAAAAACTACGAGGAAAACCGCAAATGCGATGAAGCAACGATATTAAAAGAACTGCAGGGCTAATGTGAAAACGTCTTTCAAACAACAGGGATGAATGGCGAGAATTACGAGAGGCCTATATTCGGCAATCTGAATAGGGAAAAGGGCTTCAAAAAAATATTAATTAATATTAACTTTATATAAAAAACAGTAGAATCAAGCAAATCAAACGAAGATAATCCACGTCGAAAAGCAAAGACAATACAACGTTGCCTGTTACGCCTTAATTTAAATTATATATACGTTGTTATCCCACTTGTGTTTGGAGATTATTTGATAGTGGGAAGATCATGCGGTCGATAAATTCCGCCCATTAGAAAAAGATGCAAGGATGCTTGCTAAGGGAACGATTTTAGATTGCAACGCACTATCTAGGTATTATGTCTATAGGTAATCCTAATCCTAACCTAGTATTACTGCCTGTTTTCTTTTCTGTCACTTCTAATAAGTAAATAAACATCAAGAAACACATATAGATAAGGGGTGATCAAATTACCATAGCTATCTGATTTATATTTTATCAGTTGGCTATTGACGTAATAATAATTAATCAAATGGCAAAATTATTGATGTAGCAATATGTAATATTTACTATTTGCATCAAAGAAAAACCTATCTCAGAATCCGTTAGAGTTTGACGAATATGATGGGCAGTCATGTACTGAGGATGAATGACAACAGATTGCCAAGAAAATCCATGAAAAATCTCTAGAAAATACTAAAATAGGTAACAGAATACCATAAGAGGGGCTACGACATGGACCACCAGTGTTAAAGTCAGAAATTAGAGGAAATCAAGCTGCAGTTGGGCTGTAGTGTTATCGGAAGAAAAAGAATGTTCAGAGACGTTATGAATTCATTTACGGGTTTTTACTTAGTATTTTCGTGTAATTTTGTAAATTTTAGATTTGTCCTATCTCTCAACTAAAATATGATAACAATTAAAAAAAATTATAGTATGAATGATAACAAAATATTGTTTTAAAAAACGATCTTTAGCTCAATATCATGTGGGCAGAACATGAAGTAATGAAAAAATTAATAGATTATGAGGAGAAAAAAATTAAAATTATAAAACATACTCCAAGTATGATTATTTTGCTTTGTCATAAAGTACCACGGAACTGGAGTACTACAGATTATTAAAGACGTAGTAGGAACGTGCATTGAGAAATTATCTGACGTCACCCAAATAAAAAAGGCTTATGATCAATAAAAAAAATCACGGCCAAGTGCTTATGATTAGGTAATATTGAAATTTGCTATATGAATAAAAAACTATAGGATAAGGCTGGCACGACATAAGAAAAGCCCAGAATATATCAGGATGACGTATCCAATACTTTTCGAGAATTGAAATATTTGATAAAAGATTTATTGGCTCTAGGCATAAATTGTTCTATACACATCTAAACTACAGAAAACTTTTCTAAAATATTCACTTTGCATATACATATATCTCAAAAAACTTTAAACTACCATACACATATACCTTATAACTTTGTAATTTGATCACTCAATATATATTTATGCTTCTAACGCTACACGAGAAGCATAAATAGAGCCTAGAGCCCTCAATATTCTTCAACTGATTGTAGATTTATACATATTAAAGTATAGTAAACAATTGTGACTAAAAGGATTGATAATACTTTACAACAATATTTATCATTCTCAAAAATTCACAATAATTCATAAATTTCTTTGTAGATTAGCTAAATTTAGTGGTGGCATTTTAAGCAAGCTTTACTATAAATAGACATTCAAACCATTCCTTAAAGTTCTTCTAAAACTGCTGAGAAAATTAAACAAATAAAACAAATAAGATAAAAAAAGAAAATACAATATCAGAAGTACTAAGGAAGTGATCTGTATGTAAATAACAATATAAATTACCTATATGTACTGTATAATAAATATATAAGAATAATTATTTTTATCTACCAGATAATACCAGATGGGTCACTTTGATTCTTAGATCTATAAAACTTCAAAATTAGAATATTAGCTAAAAATTTTAATAATTATAATTATAATATTAAAAAAATTTAAAAGCAATAGGAGCAATATGCGTTAGTAAAATACAAAAGGTAAGCGACCAGGATGTGTTTTATCGCCCCTACTAAGTCTATTTCATTTTGTTTTAACGGCTCAATAATTTGAAATTAAAATAAAAGTTACACATCTGGCAATTATTGTACTAAGGGTGTGTAAGTTCTTGAAACATTGATTCTTCAAGTAATATTTGCTTTCTTCAAGTAGTCAAAACACGAATAATATATTACTTATAGATAACAATGATACAAAAATAGTATTGCAAGGAGGTAGAAAAATAATGCTAAATTAACTGCTACTTTAATAGGAGCACATTATTTATATAAATGAGTATATCCATTATATAAATATTATATAAAAAATGTAATTAAAAATTTGTATTATAAAAAACACGAGATAAATGACTAACCTTATTATGGCATTTAACATCATTGGATAGTAAGAAAAAATATAAATAATTATAAATGGACGTAGATATAAAACCAGTGGGTAAAAACCTCAAAGAAAGACTACATAGATGAAGGAGTAAATAAATTAAAATCTACATAAATGAAGTTTTAATAATAGCAAAGAAAGGAACAACAAAAGAGAAACAACAAGTAAATATAACAAAAAGGAAATAAAAAGAAAACTTACGATAGTATTTAAATCCCGAAACCCGAAACATATATCAAGCATTACATCAAAGGATGTAAAATAAAGACAGGTTATTTCTTCTTAAGCTCATTCGAACTTAGCTGTATTATAATTTAGCAATAGAACGTTTAAACACTAAAACGACAACCATATCTTACATGGTTACACCCTTTTGCCCATGTAATGTAATGAACAGCAAAATATTTAAGTCTTAAATACCTAAAGTTAAAAAATGTCAGATAATAGTTTAAGTTAACAGCATATCATTAAGTTTGCTAGCGACACTAGAAACTGAAGAAAGAAACCAAAAAACCTATGATATTAAATTATTGAAATAAATGAAAATATAAAAAAAAAACAATAAAGGAGTAAAGTTATTAACAAGACTAAAACTCAGAAAAACGTGGATAAAAGTGAGGTTAAAATTTAACCTGACAAGTGTTAAATGTTTTAAAATTTATGTGACACTATCTATTGTTTTGAAAAACAGTTTATTTTTAATTCTATATTTAAATTACATGGGCAAATATTTGGAACCAAATGTGAAGTATGAAGGTTAAATATTATTTTGCCATGCTAATGTTGTGAACAGTATTGTATAGATAATTTTTAATTTTTTTGATTTTTGAAAAAATCTAAGACGTAGGGTTACATCAGAAGAAGTTTCAAATGAGCAATAACATGCATATATTTTTTAATAGTTGCTATGCTTCGGATATTAAGGATTTAAAGGTGTAAGTGAAAACAAGTCTCACGTTCCACATATCTGACAATCAAAAGAGTACCAGCATAACTTTGAAAGGTCCGAAGTTTGTTTAGTTCTAAGCCATCGTGTTTTATACTTTTAACATATGGCAACATATTCTGACAATGCGATGGTTAAAATATTCCATGATCAATAAAAAATATTCAGATATTCTTTTTATAATGAATGGAAATATAATTTTGAATGATCTCTAACAATGTAATTTAGTTAAGTGAGTATAGGTAATTTCTTCATTATTTAAAAAAGCATTTAAAGGTCAAAAATTTCTCTATAGGTGTAAGTATAATTTTAAAAACAATCTAAGCATGATCAATGGAAAGATGCTTTTGGGTGTTCTATAATGACATGAACATTGAACATGCAAGTTATACAATAACTCCACTACCAACCTCTGCACTAAACGTGACCTGAGGAAGGTGTAGCTTTCGCCTGTTATATTCACCGGAAGCCGTGTTGGTGGAACACACTGTCGACGGCCTTCTCTGCACCAGATTCGAACAGGAGGTGATAGGAAGAACGGAAGTACTACCCATGGTCAAGGATGATGCTAATGGCGTTGACAGTCTTTTGACACTTGGTACTGAACCATTTCGTGATGGGTTACGTCGAAATATTTCTAAAGTTAATTGACTTCCGTACGACCTTAAACAAAAAATTATATTTAGTATAATTTATATACACTATAAACTAAAAGACAATCAACAAAAAATGGGAGCCATAAATACAAATTATAATATGTAGAAATATCCATAAAATATCGTAAGCACAGCTTATATTAGCCATATATTAATCCTTACACAAAGAATGGTATGCTGATTTCTGCTACGGTTTGTAAATGTATAATTAAAAACAAGTACAAATATAATTTGTAGGACAAGTAATCTGTTCTTAGCTTTTTATAAAAAGTTCAAATATTATACATTTCAATTATACACTCCACTCGAACGTACAGACGAATAGTATAGCAATATATAGGGACACGGTTTAATCAACCACAATATATTGATGGCAAAATGTTATACCACTAACAAGCTTTCTAGCATAAGCAAATCTTTCTTATCACTAGTTATTTTAATAGTATTATTGTACTACTAATTGTTATACTATGTTATCTTCTTCTTTGCGTGCCATAACAGAACTATCCGACGTTGGCGATCACCATTGCGAAGGCTTCTCGATCTTCTGCAATATGGAATAATTGTCCTGCATTTGGTATCCGAGTCCATTCACAAATGTTTTTTAACCAAGAAACTTGTTTTCTTCCTACACCTCTACGGCCCTTTATTTTGCCTTTAAGGATCAGTTGTAAAATTTTATATCGACTTCCCCTTACTATATGTACCAGATAAGACATTTTTCGATGTTTAACAGTCTTTAGCAGTTCTCTGTCTTTGTTGACGCTCCTTAGTACTTCTTTATTAGTTTTTCTCGCTGTCCAACGTATCTTCAGCATTTGTTAATGAACCCACATTTCCAATGCTTCAATTTTGTTCATGATCGATACTTTTAACGCCCACACTTCTACACTATACAAAAGTACAGACCAAACATAACACTTAACCATTCTTCGCCTCAGTTCTAAACTGAGATGGTTATTGCAAAGAAATGACTTCATTTTTATAAAAGTAGTTTTAGTCATTGCTATTCTACGTTTTATTTCTATGTCTGGATCTAGTTGGTCCGTTATCACAGTTCCCATGTGTTCCCATACTATATTATATATTACCATTTATCTCCTGTTCATTGTATCCTGACAATGTTTAAATATTGTTTATATTGGAGAATACATATACTATATGTATTTGAATATATATACATATACAAGTATACAATACTAACTGCTATTTACTATTCTGAAAGTCGAAGTACTTGGAGTTTCTCTAAAAGCAACTTCTAAGAAACCACGATTTAAATATGCCTATGTGTCTATATTTTCGCTTGCTTTATTACCTTCAACTGTGGTAACAAATAAAAATATAGATCATGACAAACTGTTATAAACAATTAAGCCGTCGAGGTACGGGTGAAAAAGTTTTACACGAAAAACGATGGTGTCTAGAGACACACACTATGTATTTAAATATTTTACGAAAAATGAAAGCAAACAATTCTTAGTTTCTATTTTCTTTTATAACATAAAACATATTTTATCAACATAAACAAACAACAATTCTTTATTTAGAACTTATACAAGCAAACCTCAAAAAAAGACAACAATGGCAAATTCTTGGATGTCTCTCAATGTTTAAAATTTTGTTAACCACAATTTTTACATATGTACATGTTCCAGGTAACGCCATTTTCTACAATTTTTGCAACAATATCTTGTTTTTCGATTTTGAAAGTAGTAGTAGACAACATCTTCCATGTTGTACACCGTCAGTTGATTGCCGTCTTTTAAACCAGTAAGTCTCTGTGCACTAGTACGCATTGCTCGTTTTTTTTTTGTTGTGCATGTTTTCCGCTTGCTCAAGAATTAATACTTAAGATCAACATAATCAAGACCAACATTTTTGAGCCAAATTTTTGTCGGGATTGTTTGCGTTGTAAACTAGATGCCCATTGATGCCATCAATGTTTTATATTGTATAATATAAAAATTTGCCGTAGGCAATTTTCTAGTGTTTACACTCTCTATATTAAAGACATGTGACTTTTGATTAGCAAAATCTCTACCACCTTTTCTTAATGTTGTAAAGTGTGATAATATTGAGTTTATTTTTTCACCATTTTTAGAATCAACTGCATCATCTGTATCTAGGGAGCAGACAGCAAGAACCACTTTGCCTTTTTTGGAATATGTGATTACTAAGATAACATTTTTCCTAAAAACCAAACATTAAATAATTTACTGTTCGTAATTTACCGTTTAAAAATTCCGATAGAATTTTTTTTCTGTTTGTTCTTATGGTAGCAAGTACAGTTGTTATATTATGTTCTTCTAGAATTTTATTAACAAGACGTATAGTGGTAAAAGAATAATCAAATTTCAAACTGCAACTTGACCTTAATATTGAAGCAAAAGTTGAGTACCAAGTCTTCAGTTTTATTACTAATTGTCAAACGTCCCTCTTGTTGCTTCCCTGCATATATTTCTAAATTTTACACATACAATATTCCTAAGTCTACTATTGCAAATACCTAAATATCATACTTTGCAGGTTTGTTTGGAAAGTAAACGCGAAATGAACATCTTCTTATAAAATGCATAGAGCATCTCAGCTACCGCAATATACTCCCCTAAGAAGTAATTATTCCTACAATTGCCAACAAGCGTTTCCCACAAGTCGAATCGGTGCCAAGTTATCAACCTTTTTTCTTTCGTTGCGAGTGGGACTAACCATTATATTTCATTTTATCCTTGCCATCCGCTATTTGACTAATTGTAATGTTGTAAAATGGCAAGGAAATTAAACTCTTTTTGATGTGTCTCTAATACAAGCTGTTTCTGATATTTTAGTTTATTGGCGGCTTTATTGACGATTATATTTAAAAACATTTTTTTCCGCAAATCGCCAGGAAATTTTGACATTCCTGTCAAAATTTCTTGAAGAAAAAGTCAGGACTTCCTTACTGTAAGGAAATGTCATTTCCTTATATATATATAAGGTTCTTGAACTCCTAAGTGGAGCATAGAGCTTCAGTGAAAACGCGCCATCGGGTTCTATTTTGCGCTAAGGCCTTCACCTCATTCCAAGACTTTCCTTGTTTTCTTATCTCGTCCATGATGGATCTTCTCCAAGTTTGTACTGGGCGACCTTTTTTTCGTTTTCCTTGGGGATTCCACTCTAGGGCAGTCTTTGCAATACTGGAGTTATTTTTTCGGAGTGTGTGACCGATCCAACCCCACTTTCTGGACTTTATTTCATGTACTACCCTCTTTTGTTTGGTCAGGTGTAGTAAGTCTTCGTTTCTGATGATGTCATTTCCTTACTGTAAGGAAATGATATTTCCGTACAGTTGTTAGTGTTCTACATAAATTGTCAAGTTTGACAATTCAACCTCAATACGTTTCCATAGTAACCCAAGTAATTTTATTAGGAATTTCAAAGCATCATTATATTTGGGAATAAAATTATCGCGTTTTTTTTTAAATCAATCAATATCTGTCGAATTTTAAACGATTTGCGGAAAAATAGTATGTTTACCTCGTAGGAAAAGCCACATTCCTGGACTCTGTGTTGCTAAGTCTCGGCTTGCGCCTCGACTTAGCAATCTTCACAGTCGTCCAGGAATGTTAAGCTTTTAGTACCCGGTAAACAATGTACTATTATTGACTATATCCACGTATTTATTGACGATTTTATTCAAGACCATTGGAGGACTTAAGCTAAATTCTTATCAAATTATGAAAATTAATTGACCATTGGAGGACCTAACCTAAATTCTTATCAATTGATGAAAATTAATTGATCATTGGAGGACCTAACGCCTACAACACACAAGCAGTCTATTGAGGTCATCGATGCCATAAGTATCATCCTCACTAATTAATTGTTAAGCATTGGCAGGGTTGATTTTTTTTATTTATTTTTTTTTTTTAATAAATATGATTAGTTAAACATTGTTTCAAGATGTCTATTACTACATCTGCAGGCGCTAGTGCTAGTCGAAAATTCTGAAGTGTCTTCAAAATATAACTCTTCTGCTGTGTCATTTTCCTAGTATAATATTTCATAGATGTCTTCTTCTTCGTCATAAAGGCTTTCTCTTTTAAATTATCCTCGGCTTGTACTTTATCATACCAAACTTTAAACAGAAATTATAAGAATAGTTTGAGTTAACGTATCACTTCTCAATTCTCTAACTGCAAAGCTCGGGTAGTGTCTCCTATACACAAATGCACTGTATAAATTCTCATGAGACTAAGAATCTACTACAGATGCTACTACATTGTAATTGATTCAGCTACCCAAACGCCCAGAAAGACACAATGAAAATAAACCAAAAATACAAAAGTAAACTGAGACTAAGTTCATCTTTCAATTAGATATAGTAATCGTCAGTTATGAAGAAACAACGATGTACATTTTTGGACGAAATAATTATGGAAAATAAAAATCTCATTAATTCTTTCTAGCTGGCGCATACCATATCACTGTTGAATAACCTTAGTAAATTTAAATCCATGATTTACCTGATTAGATTTAAAATATCTATTTCCGGCATCATAACAACGTTGTGTTTATCCACGAAAATGATATAATCGCCTGGTAAGATTCCTGCTCTGTCTGCAGGAAGACCTTTTTCCACCCTCTCGATTCTCGGAGGATGCGTCCATACCACCGAAAACCCGAATCCTGACTTGGGCGGCCGCGTCAACCTCTTAGTACACGTGAACGGCGTCCTGCCGTTTCGATTTCCCGTCGCTTTTCTCTGTGTAGCTGCCGAATTTGCGTCAGGTCCATCCGTTGGGTCTAGTTCCAAATATCTGGAAATAATAAAAAAAACTAAAGGTTAAACCACTATGGTAAATTTATTACAGACAAAAATAACAAGATACTATTTAATCGAAATAACGCAGTGTGCTGAGGGTGAGATACCAATAATGATCTATATGAAACAAAAAATAAATTGAAGTAGACTTAAAGTAAGCTACATATATAAATAATAAAAATCAAACTGATAGGTATGACTATAATAGCATGCGCTTTTGTTTTGTATACCATAGCATAAAGGTCGCCACTAATTAAATGTTAGTATTAAAAGTCTTTAATACGATAAAACTTTAATGCGATTTTTATTCGCAAAATTATGTCTTCATGTCTCCGTTAAAGTCCAACTTTCGACATCATACCAAGGAGTAGAGAATACATAACATCATACTGATCTAATTTTTAGTCTAAAAGTAATATTGTTTCCACATAAGATTTTCTTCGTCTTAAAAAATGCAGTTCTGATCGTCTCTTCACATATTTTAATTTCTTTGGTCATGTTCCAGCTCTCATTTAGATTATAATCAGTCTCCATAAGCTGTTACCACTTCTGGTTGTATTTGCGTTTTACTGATAACCATCGCCTTTGTCTTTGTGGTGTTTAGCTTCAGTCCATATTTATCACAAGTTGTGGTAATCCTATTAATCAGCTGTAAAAGTTCTTCGTAACTATTTGCAACTAAGACAATATTGATGTCATTCATTTTAATAACACATTGAACACTATACAATGCTTTATTGAAAAGGACCTCTGAATAGATGTTTATTATTAGTGGAAATAAAATGCAGCCCTGTCTTACTACTCTTCGTATTTAAAGCTATTCAAAATTATCCTGGTCAATCCTGATGTTTGCACGTTGGTGCCAGTAAAAATTTTTAATGATACATACGTATTTATTATGAATACTTACTTGAAGAATGGATATCATTTCAGTATGTCTACTCGATCAATGTCCTTCTCAAAGTCAATAAAACACATATAAACTAGATGACCCGCATATTTGCACCTCTATACCATAACCTGAATATTAAATAGTGCTTTCCAGGTTCCAAGGTAATTGCAAAACCCAAGAAATAAAAAACCAAGTTGTTCGTCTAATTTTTGGTACATTCTTGAGTGCAAAATTTGTAAAAACGTTTTCAAAATAGGGCTTATCAATCTGATGGTTCGTTAATCACTATTCACAGGTTATTGCGGAACCCAAACTGCGTGTCACTTAGGTGTTCTATTTTTTGGTACACACTTGAGTGCATAATTAGAAGAAATATTTTTTAAATGATTAGCTAATGGTTGGGTAGTTACTATATCTTTTCTTATTTGCTTTTTTAAGTCTAGTCACAAAAGTCGACAACAGCCAATCCGTTGTTATTTAGCCAGTTTCATAAATTGTATTAAACGATGAAGGAGATCTTTCGTCCAGCCTTGCCGCTTTTCTAATCTTATTACTAGTTCAATATCAATTTCCTTCATAGTTTGTCAGATCCTGTCACTACTTCTTTAATTTCAAGATCAAGCCTTTTATCATTAAACACCCCCTTAATATACTCTTTCTATCTGTCTATTTTATCCAAGTCAGCGATAAACAGTTTACCGTCTCTATCAACTATGATATTTCTATGTTTTTTGTACTGATCCGTGATTTCTTAAATTTTTTATACATATTAATTGCATCATATTTTTTCTGTAACAATTTCCCAACATTTGTTTTCGAAGTAGTATGTTATTTGCAGCTCGTATTTTAATTCTAATCTCCCTATTAAGTCGTTCTTTCGTCTATTAGATTGAAAATCTCATCTTTTATCCAATTTTGTTTTCTTTTCGATTATTATCTTTTAAGTTTGGAGCTGTTTATAATCATTTTAATTTGGTTCCAATGATCCTTAATGGATTCTTGTTTTTCGTTATTCGTAAAATTTCTGTTTAGATTGTTTGCCTGACCGTTGTTTCTAATAAAATAAATATCCAGTTTGTTAGAAGATCGCTGTTGTGTTATCCGTTTAATCTTTAATTTTATTTCAATCTACAACAAAATGTGGTCATATGTGGTAAATGGAGGCTGGAGCTATAATCTTGGGCATTATTAAGGTTTTAATAGAGCAAAACTAAATATTTAAAAATGCGTATAGTTCAATTAATGTTGAAGACATTCACGAAGTCCATTTTAAGTTGTTGAAAACAAGTATTTGCAATGAATAATGAAACATCTTCAGCTTTTTTTTATCATTTCCAAGGAAGAAATTATCCGTATTACACCGAAGGATTTAATTTCACCAAATATACCAAAAACTTATCTGCTGACAAATAGAGGAACATTGCTTTATTTATTAAAATAAACATTATTCAAATCTATTTTATTTAAAGAGTGCAGGCAGTATTAGATATTGTTTAAGTCTGCAGTGACAGTAAAAATAATTTTTTGTGAAAGGTTATTTGTTTAAATTATTCCTTACCTTAAAAATAGATTTTCATCAGCATATTTTTGCTGTTCAGTCAAGACTGTTTTCGAAGTGGACCGCCTAAGTTCGCCATCCAAGTCTTCCAGACAGATCAGTTCTTCCACGCTGGACTGACTCTCGCACATCTTCGCCTCTCTTTGGCTGCTCTCGTGGGACTACTCGTCAAAAGATCGTGTGTTATCGGCACGTTCGTAGTTCGACCTGTCGATTGTGGAAGAAGTCTAAACGAACCGCTAATACCCTAAAAAAATAAACAAAATTGTTAACATGTTTTAAATACGTGAATAATTTTTTTATATATCGTTTCCTTTTAAAGAAAATTGGTCATTTTATTATTTTCCTCCTCCTTTCACTCTCTTAGTTCATTTTATAGAATTAAAAAAAAACAAAAGAATATACGGGAAAAGAGCCGGATGTTTATCCACGCAAGCTTGGAAAACCACAAAAACCTTCAAATTAATATTATTATGTATACAATTATTATTATTACAACTCGTATTGAAAAAGCCAGAAGTTCTTAACAGCCTTAGGAAGATTGTCTACAACCTATCTTTAGGTATCAATATACACATAAGAATTCTTAGATGTTACGTCTTTAGTGCTCTATGGAGTAGAAAGCTGAAGCCTTACAGAAGATGCCAAAAAAACGATTAGAGACATTTGAAATGTGGTGCTACCGACGTAATATGTTGAGGATCTTATATATATATATATATATATATATATATATATATATATATATATATATATATATATATATATATATACACCACACAAGTAATATAACTATTCTCCATCATGCGTAATAATAAATTCCGACTTTTGCAGTTGATTCTACAAAACAACATTGAGGGTAAGAGAGGTCCTGGACGTAGGCGTATATCCTGGCTGGTTAACCTTAGGAAGTGGACTGGTCCACTTCCTAAGTCAACTGATTTATTTCGAGCTGCTGTGAATAGAATAAGATAGGTCAATGTGGTCACCAACATAAGTAAAAGATACAATTTTAGTAGAAGGCACATTTAGAAGAATTATTAGGATACAATTATTAGAATTATTATAATTACTAAAGGAACAACGTTTCCCATATATAATCAACGGCTCTCCCCTATAACAGCAGGTATCCCATAGAAAGTACGTGCCTCCCAGTGGCAGGATACGGGTAGCAATACGATAGCTTATATAGCAATCCTTACATATACCGTTTCAACGCATTATATGGATTTAAGCCAAGGATCCGAACTTCTGCCTAATATAACGATAGAGGAAGTAAAACGAAACCTAAAGAAAATGAAAAGTAAAAAGGATCCTGGACCAAAAGGAACCAAGTAGTAGTAGAATCTCTCAAAGTAAGAGACAGAAATTGCTAGAAGTGGTAACTGAACTATTGAATCTACATATGTCTGTATCAAAGTATGTATAGTCCCTACAAAATAAAACAATTCAATTACGATTATAATACACAAAAAATTGAATATAGCTGATTAAGAAAATTATGCGCCTATAAGTTTGGTATCCCACATTTACAATGGTCTACCAAAATCATGATAAAACTTTAAGATCGAAAATTGGTTTTCTATCAGCCTAAGAAGCAAGCTGGTTTTAGGAGTTGCTATAGAACAAGCGATCGGAAGAGCCAAAGAGATACTAACATGCCTTTAGGCAGTTCTGTTACAAAAAGGATAGCTTTAGGATGTATTCCAGAAGGAAGTGAAATTCCTAGATAATTATTTCAATTCCCTGAAATTAAAAAAAAAGAACCCCATGTATCTACTTATGGTCTACATTGGCCTACATTGGCATGATAAGCCAAGTTATGTTGGCTACCAATACAAGCAATGATCTTGTCATTGCCAAAACAACAACTTGTAAACATTACAGTCATATTAATAAACAACGGGTAGCTGTTCTGCAGCCGTCTTTGATTCAGGAATACAATACTGGCATGGAAGGTAGGGATTTGTTTGATCAGTGGCGTGGTCGTCATCGCATATAAAAATTAGAATTCGAAAATGGTATTGGCCAATAGTCCAGTATCTAAAGTGAACTCCTGGATATTATTTAAAAATATCGAGCTAAAAATCAAACAAATATAGTTTATTTGACAAAAAGTAACTCCTATATTATCAACAGCTATAGGCTATTCCACGAATATACGACTGTTTTGGTTTACTGCGACCACGAATATTTTACTGTGCAAGTAAAAGTATGAAGGTCAATTGGTCTAATCATTATTCCAATAAAAAGGATCTACTAGTATGACATCTAAACTAAAATTATTTCAAATGTGTTCATCAGACATTTCGATAAGCTTTCCGTGAAATGTAAACACCAAAGAGGCGTGCCGGGTTTCTTTGATATAACACATTGTATTACTTTATTAGGTATTATAACAGTAATGAACAGAAATATACTATTTTTAATATCAATGAAAAGAAATTGGCAGAACGATGGTTCACAAACCAGAAAAAGGATCTAATATTTCTCACTTTGTTAGTTTTAAATATTTGTTTGCTTTGAGTTTATGTACTCTTAAAAGTTACGAAAGTAACGGGTATAACATACCGGCTATTGATAGTTAAAGTACCGAGTCGTTACAGATATTAAAAAGTAACGAAAATTTATATACAGTTTCATATATCGCCGACTGATTATGGCTGTGAATCTGATCGTTGATGATAGTTTTAGAAGAATAAGAGAATAAGTAGGATTTTTTGTTTTTTAATATTAATTGAATATTCGACTAAAAAATTTATACTATTTGATCACTTAAGTATTGTTACATTTCGTTTAAATCACATCATTCAAAAACCAACTTGTTTACAATGAAATAATTGAAATGAAAAATAAACTCCATGATAGTAATTATATACTTCAAAATCTGAATTACAACTGTTTTATAAACTATTAACTTTATATTTGTATCATGACTTCATATTTAAATCTAAGGATTATATCTGTCGTAACAGTATTTTAAAAATGGAGAGAATTTACTATTGTACAATTCAGTACATTTGACCAATTGAATCGACACCTTAAAAATAATTTAAAACAGTCGTATATTCGTGGAATGGAGTATAATCCTCGTACTCTTACAACTCAAAGAACTTTAAATATCCTTGATGAAGTTCGATATGACGAACTTGATCATTGACCGATCAAAAATCAAACAAAGAGACTTTGTGTGCAAGATGTCATAATGGCGTACCTTTTATTTGCAGAAAATGTAATGTTGGACTCCACATACATTTAGATTGTACCATAACAGCATGGTTTTGTGAAAGCGTAGCGTATGAATATTTAGACAGCTATTTACGTCAACTTAGATATCATATTTGAAACCAAAATGCCTAAAGTATATTGTATTTAAATCGATTTTATTGCTAAATTGAAAAGAAATACATTTTTGAATAAGGAGGTCAGGTTTTGGGAGGTTAAGAAAAAGAGCTGTAAATTCTATACAGAAAGCACAGAATAGCAAATAGTAGAGAAGACTGTAGAGAGCTATGTCCAACAGTAGATACAAGAAGTTGACAGATAATGATGAAGGTGATATCTGAATATTAACTGAAAAAAAAAATACAAAAATAGGCTAAGAATTGGCGACGTACAAGTATTTGGAGGGCATACGAGAAACGATCGTGCGTGAGTAGTGGAGAAATCTTGCATCTTTTACTGCACATTTCATAGATTATAGATTTCATAAATTCATATTGTCAATTGTCATATTTCATATTCGTTTTGTTTATTTACACCTTCTGTCACTGAATCAAATGGGATTTAGGAAATGCTGTGTTATAAATTGTAAACATACAACAAAAAATTGTCACTTTAAGTTTTATTAGTTTCCAACTTCGAAGCACAAAGCTACTACAAAGAGAAAATTGGATTTATATCATAAAAAAGCATACGTAACATAACCTAAATTATGCATTATTCTTGCGCCCAATTTTAAAGTCAGTTTGAAATAAATAATAAATAAAAGTTCACTTTTAAGTGTAAATTTTGGTTTCAACACTCACTTAGAGTTAATTTTAACTCAAAAATCAAGTTTAATGTTTGAATTTTATTTTTTTGAAGTTTACAAAAATGCAAGTTCAAGTTTTTCTGAAGATGCATTAAGATATATTCGCTGTCCAAAAGTTTACAGGGAAATTTACAGGGAATTAATTGTTCAAACCAATATGATGATATCATGGGCTTAACCTGCTAATTTATGCATTAGCATTATTTATGGTAATTTATTTTTCTTAATTCTTCCACTATACATAATTCTTCCATTCTTTTTTGACATTTGCCACTACTAAAGCTTTTCCCTTTGACTCGTGCTTGGTTGAAAAGTTATTTGGTGATTTACTTTCTCAAATCCAGTTTTTATTATTGCATCCATATTAACAGTAATGCTGTAATTCAATAATATATTCATTTGTATTTACGCTACATCAACGTTTACCTTTTAATAACATACCGACATAACCTCAATCTTACTTTTTCTTCTTATTCTTTTTTGGGCCACGTCCTTGACAGTTATCCGGTAACCTCGATCTATCATGAAAACGCAGTAAATCTGGCTGATTTACGACACCAGGTGTCGCTGTTCCGAACTTGCACGGTCCCGTAAATATGAAATCGCACAGTAAAAAAATGGTATTTACTAAGAAAAATGAAATGATAAACAACAGAAAAAAATATTTAATGACATTCGTCTTATACCAAATAGTTTATATCGTCGTTTATAATTATTCATTCTTATTTTATATACAAGGTGATTGATTAGTGTGAGAAAACTTAGTAAATTTGTTATAGTAAAAATTACAAAAAAAATTATTGACGAAAATTGTAGGCAGCTTTAAAATCCACATTTTAAAATTAGTTACAATCTTAGAGGTGTTCCCATCGAGCAAAAGGATAAAAGAGGGAATCTAATCGTTATGAAAAGGAGACCAAAAAAGTGGCCTCTGATGAAGGACATATCCGGAAATGCAAAGGCGCTAAATTTAAATTTTTCCAACACTTATTAACAATAGCTACAAAATATTTTTCAGACGAGAAAGTTTTAATTAAATATTAACTATAATAGTCTAAAAAGTGACACAATTGGTAAAAAACTTCAATATAAATAAAATTTCATGTGACAGTTGGGACAAACAATAACATAACCAAACTAAATTTGACTTCTCAAACAAGGAAAGAGACTGTCTTTCCTTGTTTAAAGTGGCCTCTCAAGATAGCACTTCCTGTCTAACAATATTTTTGTCCCCACTACCTTTACATTCCCTCTTTTATCTTTTTGCTCGATGGGTGTTCCATAAGATGGTGGCAGACCAAACTTGTTGTTTTTAAAATAGAACACCCAAATAGTGTAAGCTTCCTTACACTAATCAAACACCCTGTATATCCTAATGGTATTTTATTTAAAAATATTGAGACAAATTTTTATTTGTCGCATAAAAAAGATCTATAAAGATTTAGTTTGTTATTTCTTACATCAATGTTGGTCATCAGCTAACCCATAAGATCTGTTAACCTATAAAAACCTAAATAAATTCTTACTTCCAGGAAAGAATACTAAACTGTAACGACCAGAATTCCCTGCAATTTTTCAGAAAAAAGCCATTTTATAAATCACTATACTCCATAAATATTAACGGCTTTGGAATGTACATCCGCGACATCAAAATAATAAATAGCTCTAGTCGTAGTAATATCCTCGTTCTGCGTAGTTTAGTTTCGTGTTCTGAGTTGTAATAACTATAAGAAATCGATAAGTTGGTATAGACGGTTTAGGAAACTGTAAATGTATTTACGTAAGAGACGGAGAAAATGTCCGTGATAGCATAGGGATTTTCTTTATTATCGAATGAATATATATTGACAATACAATTTACTACATGAGTATTTAAGTTCATGAGCAAAAACTGATTTTATTTTAATGATAATAGAAACGCAATATTTTTAATTTTGCTGTTTAATTAGTTAGGATATAAATTTAAAATACTTTTGAGGATCCAGACAGAAAGAAGCATTAGGAGTATTCAGAACCAGGTAGTTATTAAGCCAAGCCAACATATAAGTAATATTACTCGCTGAATATAAACTGAAATAGGGGACATCATCTGAAAACCTCTGGTCTTTCAGGTTGAGAGATAGGCGTGGAGCTAAAATCTCCATACCACAAAACCACACTACGCTACAAATATACGCACTAAGAATTACAAAACATAAAGTAAAAAGAAACCAACACACTTTCTTGTATATTAGTAAAAACAACAGACATAAAGGAGTCGGTTTTCTTGTTAACGATTAAGTGAGAAAGAGTATTTCAAAACTTAATCCTGTTAAAATTAGTAAATATACCTTACAGTTAAGGGTAGCTATTTTAATATCACAATAACTAACATTTATGTACCAACAGAAGATAAAAAAGAAGTCAACAAACACGCTTTATACGAAAAACTGACAGATTTATGTTAGTGTCAGATTACATCATGTTAAGATAACTTGAGTGGAAATATTCGACACAAACACATTTGTAAGACCACCGGTTGAAAAAAAGTTGGCGCTTAAAATACAATAAGAACTGGTCGGATTCGCTGACTGCAGAATATATGTAAAAAATTAATGACAAAAAGTAAGTTCAAAAACACAGCAAACCAAATTGACTACATGCTTGTATGTGCTAGGTATTTCACAGATATAACATACTAATATATCAGTATTCAGAAGAGCTGAATGAGATTCTGATCGCTATTTTGTCACAATATTGCCAAGCACTTTCCAAAAGAGTATATACTGCAAAATAAACATATGTAAAAAAGTTTTATATAGATAACGTAAAGGACTCCGAGATTAAGATTATTTTAATAAAACATAGAACAAGGCAGTTGGAGGGATGATTCTTGTTAAACCTGAAATGTCAAAAGAAAATGGATAAAACTAAATAGTGCATAGTATAAAGAAGGTGGCGAAGATATATTTAGAAAAATACCTAGATAAAGTAAAATATACTGGTTCTATTCTGAATTTAAAAATTTTGTAAAAAAGAGAAATATAAACAGACTGTGAAAATAAATAGAAAATCACTTACTAAGTTTAAGAAAGCAAGGAAGAAAATAAAAAAGTTTTAAAAAGATTATGAATATGGGAAATGTCACTTATATAAAGATATATACAGTTTAAATGTAGAGTTCAAAAATTACATAAGATACAGTCGACAGAGCTAAAATTTGTGAAAAGTCGGGGTACGAAATAAAGTAATGAGATTGATTAACTAGGATAACACTAGAATATACCAAAACTGTAAGAGAGTAGGTGACTGTATAGAACCATTCCGAATCCGAATTATTTCTTTTTTTATTCCTAAAACAAGGAATTTTCTGCCATCTTTTTCAACCGTGCACTGCAAATAGTGGGTAACAAGATCGTACCTGGGGTAACCCAAGTGATACACATAATCACTGTAAGAACTATAATTGCCTTAAAGAAAGAATATACTGACACTAAAAGAGCTGCTGATAGCATGTAGCTGAAAATAAACGTTGATAAAATCAAATACCTTGAAAGCTGTCCTAACAGAAGACAATTACTATAACTACATGACAATATCATTCTCGGCTGTGATGATTTTAAATTTTGCTCAATTTTAAATATTTAAGTACCCACATAGAATAGATTAGTTTAGTCGAAAAAAAAAATAAAGGCCAGGCTAACAGCTGGGTATAAGTATTTATTCGCATTAAATAATAATTTGCATATTTATATACAAAAGTCGACGATTTTTACGGTCCCACCGATTTTTCTAGTTTTTTAAAGGACAGAAATAATTTTATTTCATAAGTAATTTCCACCCTATATTTATAATTTAGGTATAATCTTTTTGTAAGAGTTTCTGTTTCTTAGAAAATCTCTGGTCTTGCTACTAGTGTGTATGCTTCGATTCAAAATGATCTACTCGCATTAAATAATCATTTAATGCGAGTACAAGTTGTTGAACTGGAATAAACAATTTTAGGCTTCAATTTTGAGAGGTGAACGTTATAATCTGCTTCAAGTGATAATATAGGGAAAATACAGGAAAAGTGTACCACACAGAGAAAGAGTGCCTAGCCAAGAAAGAATGCGTATCTCGTGGATGAAAAATTTGAGATGCGGCTTCATTGAACTATCTAGAGCAGTAACCTCCAATTTCAGTAACAGCGAATTTTTCGTGATGATTTCCCACCTTCTTAAAGGAGATGATACACGAAGAAGAAAAAAAAGCCCTCAGTTTTACAACCGACAAAGTTAAATTAAGTTTAACGACAAACTCATTTTGTTTAAAATAGAACGACTAATAATAATAAAGTAAATAATAGTTAGACAAGAAATATTAAATTTTTGGTGGAGGTACGAGACACTTTCACCATTTTATATTTTGGATAATTTGACTTCAAATCAGAAACGAAACTTGCTTTCCAAAGCTCTTTACATTTTTTCTTTAAATTTCTATAGATTAGTTAAAAAATGATTGACCGCCATATTAAATATTTTATAACTTAAATTTCTTATTATTACTTACCCCTTCAATAACATCTCCGACATCAAATGACATACATCCGAGAAATTCACTAGTTCTGAAATAAAAAAAAAACGAATCTTACTGAAATGAATAATCACTAATATACATAGTAATACTACTATATATATATATATATATATATATATATATATATATATATATATATATATATATATATATATATCAAATTATTCTCGACCGTATATATATATATATATATATATATATATATATATATATATATATATATATATATATATATATATATATATATATATATATATATATATATATATAAATCTTAAAAGCTTTGAGATGTGGTGCTACCGCCACTACTAACATACTAACAATAAGTTGGGTGGATAGAATTACAAATGAAGAGGTAATACGCAGAATAAATAACGATCCAGAAGTTATAATGAATATAAAAAAGAGAAAACTTGAATACTTAGGCCACTTAATGAGAGGACAAAAGTACACGTTCATACAAAATATAATGCAAGGAAAGATCCAAGGACGCAGAAATCCAGGCCGTAGAAGAATGTCCCCAGTGGTACAGCCAAACCACTCTCTTGAATTTCTCATCCAGGACATTCTTCTACGGCCTGGATGAGAAATTTAAGAGAGTGGTTTGGCTGTACCACTAACGAAATATTTAAAACAGCAGTTAATAAAATTAGAATCGCCATAATGATATCCAATCTCCGATAGGAGAGGCACTCAAAGAAGAAGAAGAAAATATATATATATATATATATATATATATATATATATATATATATATATATATATAGAGAGAGAGAGAGAGAGAGAGAGAGAGATAGAGAGAGAGATAGAGAGAGAGAGAGAGCTGAAAAGCAAGGAATATGAAAAATTACAGCACTGGATGACAGAAAATGTTGTTAAATAAATATGTTTCTAGTAAGTCATCTTTTTGTTTGTATCTTTACGCCCGCGCGTGTGTGATTCTTATTGTGTAAGATGAGAGAGTGATAAATCTGGCTTAAAGACTTATTTTAACTATTTTTAAAATGGGTATGTCATACATATACAATTCCTATATATATTATATATACTATAATTCTGTTCCCTTTGGTCACACCATAACTTGATATCGTCTTTACCCACATCACTCGACTTTTCTTAAGATTCGTAATGCATTGTAGAAGGTGTAAATTTTGTGCATTTAACTATTTTGCATTTGATAGTCATCACGATGCAAATATCACTAACAACTGCATTGGTAGGTCAAATTTATTAAGTTCTTAGTGCACTATCCATTCATCGGACTACTTATCTAGTTTTTAGTTTGTTCAGTAAGTTTTTTTAGGAAAAGTGTTTTAACAAATTAATTATAAACAAGAGTTAACAAGAGTCGCAGTTAGTTAATCACAATCACTCCTGGTATTAAAAGTTTAATTTAATATTGAATTTTGGTTAGCTTCTTTAATATTTATTTAATTCATAAATACTAAATGATAAATAAATATAACTTTTAGAATAAGGAACCTGCCCCTATGTCGCTGTACATCGTCTAATGAATATTCCATATATTGTATAAAGGAATAAAGCAGTATATTTATAATACAATTCCATTAAATTATATCAATATTCTAATAACAACCAATGATGTATAACCATTCGACCCTCATTCGCAATTATATATATTTTTGATAAACACACAGTGGACTAATGTTACATTCTATTGAATTGCAAAGAGTGTAATAAAACACGACCACCCGCATTTTGCGCCACAAAAACATATGTCCCGGCACATTGCAGCGAAAACCAATCTGGGGTACACATGACAATGCTAATAGCGAATAATCAAAACCCATTGTGACGTATAGGGCTTGTTATTGAGCTGTTACTAAAGTTGATGTATCATTAATCCCAAAAATCGATGTGTTTTTCTAGTTAATTGACATATGCTCAAATAAACATGAATAAATTGTTGAAATTATTTATTTGCGTTACAATTTTAAATACTAAAATAGGGTTTTCTTCTAATAAAATAAATCGAAACAGTTTAGGATAAAAATATGATTTAAAGACTGTGAAAGTAAAACACTGTGACAGTAAGAAAGAAGTAAGGCTTTTATTTAAAAGGCAGTGTTCAATTACAAAATACACGACTGATTTTCATAAAAAATCATTGATTTTTATAGTAATTTAAATCTGGGGCCCAAGAGTTTTGTACCAAACTCTGTGATTTTATAATTCACCAACAAATTATGTGCGTTTAGTAAAAGCAAGAAACTGTATTATGATTAAGTTAATATTTCTCCGTTGTTTATTTAGCCTATCAATATCTTTTTTGTTTGTAGTGTTGTCATTATCTCTATAATATAATTCAGCTATTGTCTATTAAAATTTATTAGACCAGACCAGACAATCTTCTGTCATTGTTAATAAAGATTTTAATCATACGACTTTGTTCTTGAAGAGCTATCCATTGTAGTCGTAACTCTTTTTCGAGCACTTTTTTATTTAATTTTTATCGACATATTTCGTAATACAAACAAATGATTCTTCTGGGAGCTTAATTTACTAGCGAGTCTACTTGCTCGTTTACTTTTACTTGATTTAAGAGGGAGTCGGCATGTTCATTTTCTTTTAGTCTATTATGCGTTAATATGTTTGTCTTTTGTCAGTATATTAAAGTGATTCTTACAATTTTTTAACTAATTTAGATTTGGTGAGAAGGTTTATTACCACCAATCATCACATGCATATCGGTAAAAATATGTATTTTTGACCTGTTGCTTTTTACACTGAGTTTATAACTACAAGCTTCACTGCATATGATTTAGCTTTTAACACTGTAAAGTGTTGTGCCAAAGTGTAGCATTCTCTAAATTTAGAACTTCATGCAAAGATCCCTGATCTGGTTACATAAATAGTTTTTTAACGATCAATAAGTCGTATTTAATTTTAGTTGTTATAGGATATTATGGGTTCCCTAGATCGTGTAAATCTTCTCAGTTAGGATATTCTGGTTTCTTCGGTTTAAGTTCATCTAAAAGATGGGTTTCACAATTATAGTACCAGTAACATTTATGTGATTGCATACTCAACACACTGGGTCTTCATATATTGTGATATAATTAGGATAAGCAAAAGGATAATGCCGATAATTCCTACGGGGAAGTGATAGCCTCTAACGATGGCTCTTTTGTGGTTGTTGCGATGATCTTTGGGATAATTGGAAGTATCTATCTTTGTAGAGTGATAAAACCAATCATACAAGTCTGTATTACTACATTTTAAACAACAGCACTGATTCATAAGTTGTGTGTGTACGCTCCTCCTCAAATTGATCTGTTTGAGAATGAAAGAAAAGTTATCTATGGATAATTAGGAGATATACTGAGTGATATTCCATCAGAGGAGAGAGTCATAATGGGAGGTGATTTTAATGAGCATGTAGGACAATCCTAGAGAGGATATATAAACGATTAGATTTTGGAACTAGAAATAAATCTGTAGATGCCAATAATATTAGAAATGGGTATTGTTAACACATTCTTTCAAGAAAAATTAAGTCAACTGATAACATATAAAAGTGAACAAAATTACTCCTTAATCTACTACTTCATGACAGTAACCGAAGATATCCCTGTATGTAAGTATTAGTCAGTGATACTGAGCCAAAACAAGTTTTTTATGTTGGACATCGAAGTAAAAAAGCAAAATTAAATCTATATAGTAAAGAATATCACAAAAATCAAATGGTATTTATTAAAAGATGAGAAAAAAGATCTATTCAAGGCAAGAATAGTGAAAAGAATAGCCTGGAACATGAAAGGAAGTCTTAATACTATTAGAGGAATATGACCATAAGTGTTTAAGTAAATCGAAGTTTTACTTACTTACGAAAATTATATAAACAGTGAAAAAATAGGTCAGACACAGATCTTTAAAACTATACTGTCGCTAAAAAGTAAGAAAAACAATCACTAGCAAATGCTAAAGAAGAAGCATAGGGTGAAGGCGAAACAACGATATATAACATAACGAAACATAAAGCAAAGAAAGCAAAAGATTTTATTCCGAATAGATGTAACCGAAATGAAAATGATAATACTAGCTCACTCTGTAAAAGATAATGCCATAAAGCCATTTTCTAATTAAGTGGAATATGCCGCGGACATTTTTTTTATTGTGACACGACTAAAATATGTTTTTTGGTTTTCATTCATTAATAAAATTTAAAAAAAAATACTCAGAACCTTAGACGGTTCTAAAACAGTTTAGAAAATAACAAAACATACCAGAAGTTTAGGTTTTCTACTGCCAGTCCATTTTTAATGTAAATTTTATTTGTTTTTTATATCCCAATTTTATATGTATATATGTCATCAATTTTTTGTAACAAACGATTCATATAAATGAATATAATTTTTAAGTGCCCCTACTTTAAGATATATCTTCGTTTTTAATATAAATAGAATAATATAAAATCTTTTTAGAAACAGAATTTCCGAAACGTGTCGAGGTACATGGCAAACAGCTTAAATTACAAAATAAATATACATTTTAGTTACAGTCCGTTTTGATACATCCTCATCAATCTTTTTAATCTTTCAGATCAAAGTCGATGAGATCAAATATTGAATATGTAGGTCAGGGTTGGTGTTCGTTCCTCAAAGATCAATCATTCCCTTCAAATTGCGATCCCATTCGCCGTTTCTGGTAATAACGCCACCACTTATAGAAATATTTGAGAAATTTATTCCTCGCGTTTCTTGTGAGTTGAGGAGACTGGGAATTAGAATTAGACGAGAGAATTGGGCGCGTGGGCTAATATTAATAAAAATTTTGTAATCAATTACGGTTGGTTTAATATTTTCTCTGTGGGAAAATTAGTGGTTAAGGCGCAGTAGTGACTATTTAAAAATTTATGTAATACATTTTCAGAACGTTTTAATTTTTATTGTTTATTTCTACTTATCTTCAAATGATGGGATCACGAAAAGTGACATAAACATTCTAATATGCATCTCTCATTATCTATGCCTATATGGTCCAATAAGTACTTAGCCTTGCCGCCCG